GCGATCAAGGAGGACGAGGTCAGAAGCTTCAATGGCGACATCGCTACCTGTCACGATAGCGACACCAACATCAGCAGCTCGAAGGGCGGGGGCATCGTTAACACCATCGCCAGTGACAGCGACAACGTTATCGCGCTCTCGAAGCTCAGTGACGATACGGAGCTTCTGCTCAGGTGTGGTTCGCGCAAAGACAATCTCCTCATAAGCACAGACAACATCCCAGTCCTCTTGACTCAACCGGCTGAGGTTGGCACCTTCAAGAAGCAAGCTGCGCTTGATGATATCAGCGCGATCGCCCTTCCTGGCCTTACGCTTGGGCTTCTCGCTCTCAGTGGTCTGGTTTCCAGTGTACAGGGTGTCAATGGTATCGGGGTCCTGCTGGCAGGAGAAGATACCAGTGTTACGAGCAATGGCAGCGGCTGTGAGGGCGTAGTCACCAGTGACCATGAAGAAACGAGTACCAGCGCGGCGACATTGCTCAACGGTGGCAGGGATCTCGGGGCGGTGAGGGTCAATGATGCCGAGCATACCGACGACGGTGAGGTCTTGGATAGCAGAGTGGGTGATCTCGTCGCTGAAACTGTTTGTTCCGGCTACGGCGCGGGGAGTGATGAACTTCTCACACAGGACGATGACGCGCTCGGCGCGACGCGATGCGTCGTCTTGGATCTCTTGGAACTTGATGCGGGCGTCACGGGTGAGTGTCTCGACGGAGTTGGACTCGGAGGACCAGTACTTGGTGCATCCGGCGAGGAGGATATCGGGAGCACCCTTGATGATGACGCGGTAGGCACCTCGTTCATCGTCGGATTGGAAGACGGTGAGCATCCACTTGTTCTTGGAGTTGAAGGGGACCTCAAAGATACGAGGGACGGTCTTGCGGAAGCTATCACCCGAGGGGCCATAGGCAGCAAAGCGGAAGACAGCGCTGTCAGTGGCGTTACCTTGGATGGTGCGCTCGTGGAGGGGGAGATGGTTGGTGGTAGGATCAAAGGATGCATCGTTGCAGAGGAGAGCAGCGCGTTGAAGAGCAGTAGCAGGCTCACTGACTTCCTTGCCATGAAGCAAGTGCTGGAACTCATCCGAAGAGTCAAATTGCTTGTCCACAAAGGCTACTGAGCTGACGAACATCTGGTTCTGTGTAAGGGTACCGGTCTTGTCGGAGCAGATGACGTTCACACAGCCGAGTGTCTCGACAGTTGATAGACCCTTGGGCAAGACATTGACTGCCTTCATGTGACGAGCGACCATCATCAGTGTAAGGGCGACAGCGACGGGCATACCCTCGGGGATAAAGGCGACGACACAGGCCATGACGTTGACCAGCATGGCTGGGACACTCATGTATGCCTTATGATCAACGCGAAGCCAACCGACCCAAGTGAGGAGGATGGCGAGGGCAAGGACAACGGTCATGGCGACGATGATCATGACGAAGCGAGTGATCTCGCGCTGGATGAGAGCAGCTGAGTCCTTGACGCCAGAGGTTGAAGTGGCGATGCGGCCCATGACTGTACGACCACCAGTGAGGATGACAATGCCAATACCGTTACCGTTCATAACAGTAGTGCCCATGAAGGCAATGTTGCGACTCTCCAAGAAGTTGGCATCAGTTGCATCGACAGCACCCTCAATCTCATCAGACTCGCCAGTGAGGACCGATCGATCAAAACGAATGTCACCAGAGTGGCTAACGATTCGAAGATCAGCGGGAACCTTGTCGCCGACCTTGAGGTGAACAACATCACCAGCGACAAGCCCAACAGTGGGAAGACTCTTGAGCTCGCCATCACGCTTGACCATCGCGAAGGAAGGCAGCAGGTCGAGAATAGCATTCATGGTCTTGGCTGTAGACCAGTCCTGGAAGGCGGAGAAGCCAGCCTGGAGGAAGATGACGATGAGGATGAGGACGGCGAGGGATAGATTTTGGTTCGAGGGAGGATTGCTGAGGGGCTGCCAGCACAGAAAGAAGATGATGGCACCGACCCAGAGAACCGAACAGAAACCACCAAAGATGTACTTGAGCGTTCGTTTGATGTAGTTCGTCTTGGGGTGAGGCAGCGTATTCTTTCCATCGCGCTCAAGACGCGTCGCAGCAGAACTCTCAGACAGACCGGCGCCAACATCGACATTAAGCTGCTGGCACAACTGCTCCGTCTGAAGTTCATGGTACTGCAGTTTCGAGAAGTAATCCTCGTCTGTCTTTTGTCCACCCGCTGCCTTGGAATCTTCAGTGGGCTCGACCTGTTTCGCCTCGGTGACCTGGATGGACAAGGTGCGGTATTCGATCTGGACGCCTGAGTAGGGGGAGGTAGGATGGATACGGCTTCGCGAGCTGGAGTGCGAACGACGACGAGATAGGGAGCGGGAGAGCGTGCGGCCTAGGCGGTGTGCATCGTGGTCTTCACGGCCGCGCTCAGGACCGTCTTGGAAGGTGATGCGTTGGATCTGAGCCTCAGGATCAGACTCCTTGGTCCCATGGATGTCAGGATCAGACATGTTGACTGATAGTCTTCACGAGGAAGCTTGAGGGGGCTGGGAGAAAGGAGCAGAGAGAGAATCAGATCAGTGTGAGAGGATGGGAGAAAGTCAGGTATGAAGCACAGCTACGAAAGTGGTATTAATACAGGAACCAACAGCGAGGTCTAGACAATTCTACAGCCCGTGATCATCCCTCGCGAGGCCTCTTGAGAAATAAGAGGTATCCATCAGAAAAACAAACAAGCGCTCGTAAAATACCGCAGTTTTGCTGCTGAAACGTGGTGAATTGTAGTTGTAAGTGAGGCTATACAAGAGGTGTACATGCTCCGCCAGCGATAATATCGTGTGGTTGACGGTAGGTGTCGGTATGGGACTACAAGCCAGGGGGGGCCAGGTCAGAGCTGACGGGCGCAAAAAGGGGAGACGGGGGTGGAAATGAATGCCGTAGGTAGGTTAGCCCGTCTAGCTTTGGTAGTCAGTGATATCACAGCGTGGGGACTCAGCCCCGACTCCACAGCTTGTTGGTGTGTGCAGGTATTTGGCTCATATTGTTCTGCACGAGCTGGGACTTGCATGATGAGGGGAGACAGACAGACAGACAGCCAGAAAAAAAAAGGAAGGGCATCTGGCCTGGCTGACGTGGGTGGCCCTGACTAACCACGTTGGAAGAAGCCGTTTGTCAAGGGAACTTTTGGAACGAGTACCACTGAAACGGAGCACCGCCCCAGAACCCGAGCTCCTGGAATTTACCAAAACCTGCTGCCCACGAGAGAACGAGCGAGAAGAGAATCCTTGGATGGACCCTGGATCTCACGTTGCATCTGGTCGGACCCAAAAAGGCACGGAAAATAAGGTCCTCGAAATAAGCATTTTGACGTGGGCGTAGCCGTCTTGGCATGGTCATAGCGCCCTCTGGGATCGGGGGCCAGTTACATTAGCACAGTAACTTAGGGCAGGGCAGGGCAGGCAGTGCAGTGCATGAATTGGATCTAGGCTCAAGACGGTATATCGTGGTCATGAAACCAACACCCTTTCGCTCACATGCAAATGGCGCATACAGACAGATCTGTCATTTCGGAAACAAGCGAATCAGAGCTTTGGTCTAATGCAAATGCTCACCGACTCGCTCGACGTCGCGGAGGCGGACTCAGCTCCGTCGGATGCGGTCCTCTCTCCCATTTGCAGTAGCACGAAACCCGCTGCTAGCCTTTGCCAACAAACAACAACAATTGATCAAACAAGATTTCTCTCCGACTCCTTCTTCTCTCTCATCTCCTTTGCTCTCTCGCTCACTGCTACATTCGGCATCCCGCCAGAGGCCAGAACACAACAGACCCTTCTCCCATCTCCAATCCGGCATTTCCCATTGCTAATCGCGCTTCAAGAACCTGTTTTTCCACCCTCGTATACGCATGCTCCAATTGCTGATGCCGCATGGCAACTAACTTTTCCACCTTCAAGCCGTTCACCCGACGCGCCGTTTTAACCGTGCCTCACAAAAAAAAGGAAGCCAATCTAAATAAATACCAGAGCCGATGCACCAATTAGAGACTCGATTGTCTCCATTAAACCAACAGTTGTCGCGTCGCATTGAATTGCCGCTCGTAAAAGATTGAGAGTCACACGGCCACTGCGGCCGCGTCATACAGGGCTGAAGATGCTTTGCATCGATGACGGCAAGACCTCGAGATCCAGATTCTTCAATTAATTCTTAGAGCGAAAGAGAGTTTTACTGCGCTTTCTGTTTTGTTTCTACGCCCGAGAGCTTCGATGCAAGCTCTTCTGGGGGTGGCGATGGGGGTTTTCGGGAGAGCCAATTGTGTTTTGCGTAAATTTTCCGAACCAGGCATCCATCATATCAGGGTCCAGGCACCAAGTCGCACTAACAAAACATGCTAGAGACGGATGCCCACGCTTTGGATTTCCTCTGTTTCTCGGCGCTGATTTGTGGTGTGAAAAATTAATACGACATGCTCTATCGCTTCAGTAGAGCGCGAGCGCGTACGAAATCGCCAATTGACATGGATTATTTGTGCCCTGAGCCTCATCGAGATTTATGATGTCATTTTATCACGAGCAGGTGGTCGGTGCATTGCTTGGCATTACATCCCTGTGCACCGAGGGTTGCTTCGAAGGTGTAGGGTAGTGTAGGCTGTTGTTTTGGACAGCTGACTCGAGTGGCTATGCGGCACTTGGCCTCGGCCTTCCGCGGGTAACGGCAAATATGGTGATCAGTGCTTGTTACATCGTGAAAGGAGCAGGAATATTCATCCTTTGTTAATATCCAACGCCTACGTCTGTCGCCACCATAATTCCCAACGCTCCAGACAGTCACGCACTCCTAACCAAATAGTTTGTGACAAACTGAGGTTCGAAAACTATACGGACAGTGGAATCATAGTGACGCGAAAATGTTTGTATGATGGACTCTTACTGAGTTACAACAACATCGCCTAATTTCAAGTGTGACATCTGGCTAACAACTGCTTGACTCGCGATTTAGAACCTCAAAATCCTAATTAGCGGTACAAATCTGCGTGATCCCGCTTGATCGCATCAGCACCCTTCTCCGCCACCATATAAACCGAGTTCTGAATACGACAGTCCGGAATAACAGGAATGACAGAAGCGTCAATAACACGAAGATTCTTGATCCCATACACCTGAAGACTAGGGTTAACCACGCCCTGTTCAACGCTCTTGGCGAGACGAGCAGTTCCGCAAGGATGGAATGAGGTTTGCGAACGGTCCAGAACCGTCCTCTTCATAGCATCGTCATCGTGAAGTGGCATATCCCATGGGTACTCATCTTCAACTATATCCTTGAACCCTTCCCCGTTCTTGAGCACATCATACGAGAATCTGATGCCTTCGCGCATGGCAATGATGTCGAGGTCGTTGTTGAAGTAATTCAAGTTGATGTTTGCTTGTTGCAAGGGATCAGCACTGTTGAGAGTGACTTCGCCGCCCTCTGAGACAGGACGTACGAGATCGACCATGACTGTCATATAGCTTCCCTTGTTAGGGTGCGGGAAGTGCCATTGGAAAGCACTACCAAAGAGAGGAATAAAGTCAAGCTCAAAATGAGGCTGACCATATGGGCAGAAGGGGTCAAGACCGTCATTCGCAGCCTTTGCAGCGCGGTATTCGGGAGATTTCTCGAGATATGAATCTATTCTAGGGAACCCGATCATCTCGAGGAAAGGTGATCCCATTGGTCCGGCATGGCCATTCGCGTAAGCCGACATGACCTTATCCTGAAGAGCACCCTTACGTAGGACATGGTTATCCATGGAGTAACTGTCCTTAATCTTGAGGACAAAAGGAACACCTGGGTGGTCCAACAGATGCTGACCGACATGCGGCGAGTCGACGAGTAAGGGAATGTTGTGCTTGGCTAGCTCAGCCTTTGGACCAATGCCACTGAGCATAAGGAGCTTCGGGGTCTCAAACACGCCCTGAGATACAATGACCTCGCGAGTAGCATAAAGATCGAGCTCCTCTCCAGAGGCTGTGATTACAGTCACTCCTTTGGCAGTACGGTCTGCTTGGTCGATAATCAGCCGCTTCGAGTGAATCTCGGGAAAGATGGTGATGTTTGATTTGTCCGTAACAGCAAGGAAACTTCCCGAGCGTCTGCCTTTGTAGATCGTGTTGACACTATGAACCAAACCGCGCATCGTCCCGTCAAAGATATTCTCAGAAACAGGCTCGCCGGTGGATTTCCAAGCCTTGGCGAGAAGATCTCGGAATGGTTTCATCTCTGGCATAAGCTCCGCATGAGCAATTGGAATCGGTCCTCCCGCACCAATCTTCTTAAGTTCTGGGGCATACAACCCAGCGTCGTCATGATAAGTCACGCTCTTTCTCAGATAGGGAACAAGAGGTTCCCAAGTCCATTCCTTGCCACCGTATTCCTCCCACATATCGAATGTTCCCTTGGAGCCAGGCACCCAAGAGAAATAGTTCAGTGACGAGCTGCCACCTAGGGCCTTGCCGCGAGTATTTGGCTTCTCAATACGTTCATAATCGTCCCGTTTGATCATTGTTGTCTTGTAGGCCCAGTCATACTTACTTCCCCGGATGTCCATGGCAAGTCCCGGAGTACGGATCTCTTCGTTATCTTTGGAAGTTCCGATTCCTGCTTCGACGACGAGGATTCTAGCATTGGGGTTCTCAGCGAGGCGGGCAGCGACGATGTTGCCGGCTGTGCCGCCTCCGACGATGATGAAGTCGAAATAGGCACCGTTCTTGACAGCCATGGTTTATGAGGGAGTAATGTGAGTGTAAGAACATATGCCGATTTTGAAGATATGTCTGGGTGCTGATATGCTGAAGTTCATGAGGATAGGCGTCAGCTTTATATGCTTGCGGAGAGTGGTATTGCTTCTTGCGCATTTCTTTGTTGCTTGCTACGAAGAACCGTCAATTAATGCTCGAGACAAAGGCATGTAATTGGCGGAATACTCTTGCCATAACTCAACGTCTTGCATACAAAATGGAGGGCGCAAACCTTGCGTGCCCTTGTAGCCAGTGGGTAGCTTTTCTGAATGCGCCAAACCGTAGCTGTCAGCCCTAGGTGTAACCCCTGTCTACTTCTCTTCCCCCAACATGGCAACTGATCGTAGATAAGATATCCTCGGATCTTCCGGATCAGTTCAGCTGAAAGATGAAAAGCAGAATCGTCGTCAATTGCCGTATTCAGAAAGACTGTTTGACCAGTAAGGATGACACGCCAAAAGGAGCAATGCATATCATCTCACGCATGCAAGGTTGATGAATACTGACTCCCCTCAATTTCTAAAGAGACGAATCACAGCTTGGTAGGCATTTACATTGATGAATAGATAAGCAAATGTACAGATGATAACGCAAGTAAACTTTGATCCCCAACAAGTAGGAGAAACAACATCCTTCTTGAGAATTTAGTGAGTATACCGGCAGAACCAGCGATGAGCATAAACTCTGGAGAGGTGGAATAAACGTTTCTCGATTACATCGGCCATTCTCTTGGCCATAAAAACAAATATCTTAGCATGGAGATAATGACGGCGGATTAAGGGCATACGACCTGCCTGGTATGTCTGTCAACATGATACCAACAAGGCTCCCCTAAAAACATTTCGGTCATTTACGAGAAACTAACAAGATCAAGATTTTGAGATCTTTAGCTGAGTCTCGTTTTTCGCCTGATTCTCGGCATTTGAAGTCCATTGGTGAAGCCGACCCAATGCCTTCCGTTTGCCTTGATATCACCGTGTGGCTTGAGCTACTGCACCTCCGTAGATCAATTGTCCACCAGGATTGGAAATGATTATCGACCATCACCGGATTCCGAACACCGGTCCCGCTAACTACCGACTTGGGCAAGACTACTGGTGCAATAAGACGTGTAAGCCACAGAGTGTTAAAGAGTCCACTAGCTACTTGTGGATGAATCCCTTTTTCACATAGGCGCTGCATGGATACATTACGCAACCGAGATTATGATGGACCTGAGGAGGCCTGGCGATAGGTAAGCAGCACTTCTTCATTGGGGTCTTTGTCAAAGAGCCCCGCTAGCTTTTGTGTCAAGGATGGTGTTACCTACCAAGAATCTAACAACTAATGGCTCATTTTCAAATCTTCAAGATGGTTTCCATGTTATGGCGTTTTGAATATGTGTGCAGTAGATCGGCAGTCAGCCTAAAGTTAATTGGTATTTTTCAGTGTGTTGGCTTGATATATCTCGTTGAGATATCATAAGCTTTAACTATTAATCAGTCAGGGTATAGAAATAATTAATAAGATACTAAGCCTATTTATTTAGTACTAAGTTACATCTTATTAGCTGTTGCTTTCTAGCCTGATCCAACTTCTTTTCTTTCCGTCTTAATTGATTTCCATGTGCTATTACTAGATAAGTCTAAGCCTTTGGAATTTTAACTGCATAAGCATTGTCGTGAGTTGTCAGAGGTCCATCTGTGCCGGTGCGGTCATACTTGCCTGCTGGAGCATTGTGCCCACCACAGATTGGCAGGATATACCACGATCGGTCTCTTCTGTCGACTTTCTCCATGTGACCTCCTACAACAGGTAAGCCAAACCAAGAGTGAGGCTGTCTCCGGCTTCCAATGATCTTGCAGCTTGGCCAAGCGCAGCGTCCTTTCTGTACATTCTTATAGAACCAATACCAGTATCGTACCCATGATGAGACGCGATGATCGACGCTAGAGCCGTCTACGTTATAGACCTCTTCATCACCGAATGGAACCCACGAGCACTCATCTCGGAAGTCTTGAGGACCAGCAAGTGGAACCATTTGCATCATGGCTCGTAATGGCGGAGCAGGAGGCTATTACAAAAGCAAGTTAGTCATTTCCCGCAGTATATGAATGATCTTCTCTTGCGCCCATGCTGGATAGCTTACCTTCGTATCAGCGGGTTCTGGTCTGCTTGGAAATCGCTCATAAGTCTGGTCGATGACACATGCAGTCAATGGCATTTGGCTGAGCTTGGTCACATGAGCCGTTGGCATCATCTCAACCGAGTATTCATTGTCCCCTTCATCACTCTGCTCTTTGCCCAGCAGTCTTGCAAATATCATGAGGGGAATGTTAGGCATTTGCTGTATAGTACCAAGGATCCGGCACGCCAGTACGGATCTGCTTCCTGGGCCTCCTGGAGGGTCTTGAGATGGCTTTCGGAACCTCAGAAGCTTTCGGAGGCTGTCTTGGATTGTCTCATCGCCAATCATGTCTTCTAGCGATGAAATATTCGTCTGAAGTCCTCGACGTAGTGTTTCAACGTTTTCAGGTATCTGTGTGCGGAGTCTCGTTATTTGATCCAGTGTTTCGTTGTTATTAGTCCATGTCTGAATAATGGCGGCAAGGTCAAAAGCAATACCCAAGATTGGCACCACTTCACCTAGCATTGGTAAAAACTTTGTTACTTGTTTGCCGCCGCTCTTAGCTTTGCATAGACGTGGTTAGAAAGAATATGGAATGTATGATGTCTGGAGTAGTTACCTAGCACTTCGAATATCCCTTCTATGGTTTCAGAACCCGCAGCTAGAGGCTGCGCTGCAGCTGCACTGTTGAAGAGGGTCTGGATTGCCATGGTGGTGAACTGATTTGGTACAAAATTCGTATCGGTTGGCGGAAGGGACCCTGGGGGGCCTCTCGGAAGAGTTGGAGCTCCAGGGCCAGGAATACCCGTACCTGGGCGAGATGGATTATGAGCCTCCAAAACAGCAAGGAATAGCTTCAGAGACTCAATCAAATCTTTCTTGGCCTTCTCGATTCTTTTGTACAAGTCCTCCAAGTCGCGTGATGCGATGCCATAGTTGTTCATGACTTCTGAAAAAGCCTTGGTAGCGTCCGCTTCAAAGATCAAGCTTTCGGCAGCAGATGTCCCGACAGAAGTTACCACTCCCGCGCCGATGAGGACCATGCCGACAATTGCGGCGGGGGKGAAAAGTAAAACGGTACCTATAGCCGACGTTACGTTGCCGGCAGTTGAAGCAACCTTGCCTTTGGTCAAGTGATCATCTAGCTTGTTGTAGATTTCTTCCAATTGGCTTGTGGCCACTCGAGAACTAGCTTCCAGCTGGCCAAACTTCAGCTTTGATTCTCCATGCAGCTGTAGGAAATCTTCAGGGCGAGAGATGTAAGCCTCCCTTGCAGAATCAACATCTGCGGGATTCACAGGAGCGGTTTCGGTTGATGTTGCAGGAGCTGGAGGTGATGCTGGAACTGGATCGGGATGATGTTGGTTGACGTGGACTTCAATCTTTTGGGTTCCGGTGGACCTCGTCTTGATGTATACCAGATCCGGCCAATCTTGGGAAAAGTTGACCATAAGCCATCTTCCATTATCTTCTTTAGCGAACCCAGTGCCAACATCGATCACACGTCGTTTCCACTCTGATTGCGCCGAGACAGCGTGGACCTCGACCATATTGGTACCCGTGTTCCTGGTCTTGATGTAGTACAGGTCGGGGAAGCTTGCACTGGGACCTTGTGCGAGGCACCAGGTTCCGTTGTCTTCGACTGCAAAGTCCGTCGCAACGTGGCGTACGAAAGACTGATAGTTTGATGACTTGCTGGCAATGTGTATCTCAATCTTTCCGGAACCAGTAGCTCGAGTTTTGATGTAAACGAGATCACCCTTCGAAGACATGGCCCAAATACCATTATCTTCCAAATCAAAACAGGTGCCAGTCTGAAGAACGAATCTCTGGTATTTGGAGGCCGCATCGGCAACGTGGACCTCAACCTTCTTGGTTCCAGTGTTACGAGTCTTCAGGTAGACCAAGTCGGCCTTTCCGTCGCCTGTCCAATCACACATAAGCCAGGTTCCGTTGTCTTCAATACGAAAGACAGTGCCGGTAGCTAAACTGTGCTCTTGGAAGCGCGACTCGTGGCTGGCTGTATGGACTTCGATCCTACCAGTGCCGGTGTTCTTGGTCTTGATGTAAACAAGGTCTGGGGTCCCATTGCCATCAACGTCAGCCATAGTCCAGACACCATTGTCTTCAAGGTTGAAAACAGAGCCTGTTGATACAACCCGTGTTTGATACGACATGATTGATAGGTTCTATGTGACTGAACTAAAAGAAGATAATGAAAAGATGGATTAAAAGGAATGAACTGCTTCGTGGTTTTCGTGTTGGTATTGATAGCTTGGGATGCATCTATTGCTCCTATGGCGTGCTACTATATATAGGAAGAATGGACACCTCCTCGAGTCAGGATAAGTTCTTTTGTTTCCGCAAGGGACTGTTTCTGCAGTGACAATTCGGTTCCATCACCCTAGGTGAGTCCCGACCAAGAGCCAGCCAGCCACTTTGACAACATGGAGTGTCCTTGAATTCAGTCTAGATGCCTGTCGATATTCTCGATGCGGAGGCTCAGAACCCTGATTCAATAGCGTTATGGGGTCTTGGTAGCTTTCTCCACTGCACACAGCTGCAAATAGGACAGCTGGCTCAAAGACGCATAGACCTTCAAGGACCAATCATTCCCAAACATAGCCGTGATTGGTGTGACACATGTTAAATGTGTGCATTTATCACATATAATTTGTTCTAGCTACTTGGCCTTCGCTTCGTACAATCACATTCATATATTAACGGGAGCAGCTTAACTTTTTTCTTGGTTCTCAGCTAGCCACAATTTCTTCCCACCGCTCGCTTATATCGTTAAATCTAAAAGTAGACTAGCAGACTAGGCGGTAAAGTTTGAAGTGTCATGGTGTTTTGTTCTCGCATCCCCTTGAGCCTGCATATGCATGAGACAACTCAACTGGTGGAGTCATTGCTTGTAGTCACAGAAGATTATCGAAAGCTTTAGATAGCTAATCCTTCTAGACGGACCAGAGCTTAGTGTCTATAGCTGAAGTCTCGTTCGCCTAGATAGTCTAACCGATCACTCAATCCCTGTAGCTAGGAGACACAATAGAACGGCATCTAGACCGTAATGGTCTGGAACAACCTTCACGAGAGCCTCGAACATAGCCACCCTGGTAATTCGTATTCCTGGTTCAGTCACTGTACCTCAAGCGCGCGTCGGGGCAGGCGCTCAAGCTCAGCTGCATGGGCCCAAGTCTCCTCGTCTTTTACCATTCTTCACGCGTTAGCATGCGGTCGTACTGATAAGTCGCCTTTCAAAAAGTACGAAAGTAAGGTTAGTAGCAACAAAGCTATTTGCGATAACGTCCCCTCCGTAGGTGGCGGATAATCAACGCCAGATCAGACTGAGCTAAATTAAGAGGATCTCGAACAGTAGAGTAATGCAAGGCCAACCACTTCATCCGTTTGGCTGTTCAGCTACTTCCTAGAGGTTTCATACTACAGCCTATTTGGGAGTCAACTGGCGCAATATGCAGTGACTTCTTTTTGGCATAGCACACTGGTGTAATCAGTACTCATATTTAAATTAAGTACCTTCATAACGTGACAGAACAGCAAAGCGCTTTCTTAAGAATTTATATATAATTTAGTAATGCCTCTAAGAGTATTGAAGTCAAGTTAGAGATTGCAAGTGTAGTTCTCAGTTACCTAAGTTATTGAGTCACTATCATAATATAAATATATAATATAGACACTATATAGAGCCTCGGTGTAATATATTTTCATAGCGCGGCCTTTATTTACTGTAAAGTTTGGTGCAGGACCTATATTATTAGGTAATCTGTTCTTTCTTTCCTGGTCCTCTCACGCCCACTGGTTATGACCATGGATCTCTTTATACTTCTGCCAATATGGGCCTGTAGATGTAAAGTCTCAAAATAAATGTCGTACTGGTCATACGATAATCCATTGATGTCCTTTACATCCAACCAACTCTGATGGTCATTTCGTAGCTAATTGAGTGATTGGGAGTCCTATCGAATGCAAGCATGGGAGCCAAAACCACTAGGGCCTAGATGTAGCCTTTAGCTTCAATATCCAGATATCGTCGACAATAATATATCAGGGGTGAACTTCTCCTCGAAGATGTTCTGCTCACCGCCACTTGCTCGGCATAAAGTCTCTAGAAGACATCGCTCCACAGCATACCGAGCGCCACCACTTAAAGAAGCAAGGACTGTCGCCATGCTGCGAACGTAATCTGGGTCAAGCCCTGTGCCTTCTGATGCAGTGAAGTGGAAGAAAAGAATACTGTTCAGGTTTTCGAGAGAATCATGCCAGGACGGGTGATTCGCTTCGAGGCAGAAGTTGAGCAGATTCAAGTTATCCAGCCTTTGAAAGCTCCAGCCCCCTTCCTGGTAAGTCACTGTGTCGTGAGGGGATTCGGATGCCGACCTTTGCAAGAGCACGCAGATGAACAGCAAACAGGCAAGCCGAGTGAATTCCAAGTCGCTACACAGCTCCGGGCGGCCAGCATCCAATTCGTGGTCTTGACGATGTGCTTTGAGTAGTGAGATGGCTTCATGAAACGCCGAGTAATGTACCGGGGTGCTACCCAGGAGATTTTTTCGGAATGTGCCCATGTCTTGGATGAACGAAAGCAGCCATAAGCTCCGAAGATTTCGTAGCTCGTTTCCCTTTCTTTGGATGGGATGCGATGAGAGCTCCGAAACATGAGTGAGTAGCTCTTGGACTTGATTGGAACAATCGAGCCATGTTGGCCTTGCCATCAATGAGACCCTGGGGATATTAGCATCTCAACAAAGAAGGAGAAGTGAGGGGCCCACAGGAAGGTCGTGAGCTCAAGCCTCCAGTTACTGCTGAGTGCCGCTATACCGCCGCGAGCCTCGACGAGATTCATCAGACCTTTGTGATGGATGATCCACTCAGCCTCGGTTCCCCAATACCTCTAAACCTCCTACCATTAGTATTTCAGATTCAAGATTCAAGTGAAGAGGCAATTAGACATACCTCGTAGGTCAAAAGACGTAGGATAGCAGCCAAGACATCGTCTGACACCGCACGCTCCTGATCTTGCATCCAAAGCTGAACGATCCTCACCGCTTCGCTCTTGAACTCCAGAGCTACTTCTGATTGACTAAACCCTTGCATACGAGAAAGATGCGCAGCTGAAAGCGCCATAAGTGCATTGAACGATGCTAGATTAGACAAGTCGAGTGGCAGCCATACGTCGCGCATAGGACTGAAAGCCCCATCAAGTGACGGCCCAAACATCATAGCGGCATGAGCGCTAAACCCTGGTAACGATAAGCACTTGTTTGTTTTGTTGGGTTTATGGAACTCACAGTGATGGAGAAGCTTGTGGTGTGTGACCGACAGCTTCATGGGCAGTTGCTCGAAGGGGTCAAGCCTGCTCGACCCCAATGCCAGATTCACCCCTGAAAGTATCTGATGCGGAATGCCTTCCAGATCCGATTGTAGTTCGCTCTTAGGTACTAAAGCTGCGTCAGATGAGGCATTGGTGTTCAGTACTGAGCTAGAGGACTCGGAGTTCTCATCAGATATTGTCGACTGCGTCGTCGGAGTCGGCAATAGCGTATGCTGAGTGCGCTTCTGTCTTTTTTGCTTCTCCTCGTTCATCGTCTGTCGTCTATTCTTCCAATGCTCTCGCATAGCATGGCTTCGAAGTTCTCTCTTGTTGCTTTCATGTTCAACAAATGCGAATTTCTTTTGTGGGAGGTTGTCGTCACTGGTATTCTGCGAAGAGTTAGAATTGGTTGCCATGATCTTCAATGCCTTATAGCTGGATCATACAATTAACCACAAAAACACGCTTCATCATCGTGAACAGAGCCGCATCTTATAACCAATAAAGAGAGAAATTTTAAGCGAAACGAGTCCAGATCTTTTGTACGTCATCCGGTAATGCCGACTCTTGTTGTTGATGTTTAAGCTCAATGAGGCTCTGAGATAATGCGGATATTGAGTCCCGGCGTTCGGTATTCGGATTTGGTGTGTTCTTGTGTCTTCTAGAAGGGGATTATAGTATAACCGGTCCGGAGCAAGCATTGTCGGGCTTTTTTCGGATTCAGCTTACTAGGTCTTAAGAGCATAGCTGTAGAATGACCGGCCCGGTTATCAACAGGTCACATGTTGATCTTGCAATCGATAAGTATCTATCTTATCGATAAGCATGACTGGCGATTGCTTATCTCCAAATCGTGGGTTCCATTCATGATTACAAAAGCCTAACAAGGTGCTCATCTTTAGGCAGGGCAAAAGCCTCCATTTAACTTGGCGTTCCTTTGCCTTCCGCTGTGTTTCTTCTTGAAGCTCTCATCAGTGCCCAAAGAGGAATTTTTTTGTCAACCACAAGGTTTTCTTCAATCTTCATAGAAGGGATGTTTCATAACTACCCTCCAGGAGGGATTGCAGCCTGTTCGCCTTCTGCGACCCGGCTCCGAGCTTTCTCAAACCGATGACAACCCAACTTGCCACTCACAGCTCTGGTAGAGGACCAAGGTGAGAATTAACTGCTAATCCCACTGAGTCTCAGCCAGTCAGTCAGTCGGATAGTCACCTTCCCGGTTGATTGCGTTTTGAGCTGTCTTTCGCCACAATTATGCGAATAGCTTCACTTAAGTCAAGGTCCTGTGGGGGTTTAATGAGGCAACGGCTGAGCTGATCGACTAAAGCGCCGGCCGTATAGTCGGGTCGGCGGCAAACGATCCAAAAACGAAGCTAAAGGGTGTGTTCTCAGTGCGTCGTCAGTGCGTTCTCAAGTTGCCATTCTGCTGCGACTTTCTCTAAGAACACCAGAGATTACTTCTAGAACATGAGTTGCTTAAGCTCTACCTCCCCGAACTATACCTAGACTCATTGTATCGGGTCATGTTGTAGTCTGTGCACATCCTCGATGCTAGTCGGAATGATAGTCTCGTTTAGAAGCGTGGACTGTAGGGAGGCAGGAGAAGAAGGTCAATTCGCTGTGCCGCCCCAATAAGAGCTCGCCTGATTTGAGCCCAGATCATTAAAAGGACTACAAGAGGCAGAGAAACCGCACTGATGACTTGCCCTAAGTCGCAGAGCTGATGAAAACACGTCACAGAACAACATTTACTGATGTTCAGAGTACCAAGATCTATTCCCATCATTCAAGGTTTGTGTATCTGTTATTTCCACAAGTCTGAAGGGTCAGGCCGCTTCGTACCACGCTTCGCGGTCTTATTCTGCTCCTGTGACCGCAGTTCTTTAAGCATTCCCTCATTATGCTTTATCAGTCCATCAAGAACCTTTTGGAAAGACAATAACCCTGCATTACTTGCTCGTGTTTCTCTTGACGTTATCGATGTCGTATCGCTATATGGGGTGCTATCTGCTCGTCTTTTTCTCGACGTTATTGATGCTGTATCGCTGTGCGCGGCAATTTGTGGCCAGCTGGCACATTGTAATGTGAAGCTCTCCACTTCCGAAGGTGATGACTCAATGACATCTATACCCTTCAAGGTTCAGATTAGAAAGGGGTTAAGACTAACAAGGGAATCCATGACTTTGACATACCGACAGAAGGCCAAGGAAGTCTGGATTTATCGTTGGATCAGATTCGGAAAGATGTTGAGGCAAATCTGGCGGATAGCTCAAGCAGGAGTCCTGCACCGGAATACTAGTAGCTTGGGCTTGAGTGGAATTCAGGGCGTCCCAAAAAGTACAAAACCACTGGTACAGCGCAGGCTCAGTTTCTGATTTTGATAGATCCACTGGCTCTGTAGGACATTGTTCCTCGTATGGTGACGAATATGAGCTTCCAAAACCCGAGTCTAACAGAGAGGGTGTGGCATTTCGCGGCTCGTTAGTGCATCGCTGGGCTGCAGCATGCATGACTTGGTGCCGCAGGTTATAATCGGAGTTAAGAAGTGCTTGTCCACAGCTATACATCCCGGCTGAGAGGAAGTATTCGTAAATCTGCGAATGTAATAAAGCATGATAGTCCATATTGGAAGGCAGCTGGCCAGGGAATGCTTGTTGATTTCGAAACATGATGCGGCTGTTTGACAATAGAGTGTGTTTAATGACAACGGCAGAGCGGGCAGCGGGGGAATGGAGTAAATAGCCCGTCTCCCCTATTTACCTATTCCAAGATATCGGGATTCCCAGTGAAATTGGCATTCTCTGTGGCGTCAGCTAAAATAAACTTGGCATGTCGCAGCATAACATCCCGATTGCACCCACAAAGTCCCGGCCCCAAAACAGATCAAGTGGAGTGTTTCCAGCCGTTGAAACGGGCGTTTCGATTAATCCTTCTTAAGCTACCGCTAACAGAGTATGGATTGACAGGTTTGCCACTATGGAACTCAGCATTCGAGAACCTTGGGCATAAATGTGTGGCTTTGAGCCATTTCTATAAGTAACGTTGCCTAACATAATGGTGGCTATCCTGATCTTCAAGGCTTGGCAGACAATTTTGGTGAGAGAAAAGGGGCAAAGAGATCAACAGGAGCATGGCTGCAGCGACGGATTCCTACCAGGAAAGCTACTCGAAATATTTCTCACTGTGATAAAGACGTCACCAAAGGAGCAATGTCAATCCGAGATGGAAGAAGTCTTAACCAAACGGATAAGGAAGCGAATACTCGGATACTTAGTGGTTTCTTTGCAGTCGGGCTCATTCGCACCCCGAAACATGACGTATGTGGCGATATGATTGGGCGCTGAGACAATTTCCTACACGACAGCTGCTTTCAGGTACTGTTTTGCACCGCCTGAGTCGTATGATTAGACGGGTCTGATCGCCCTTCGCGCGCGCTACCGAAGGGTAGAGCTGCCGGATCAGCATCACCATTGGGCGATCCTCGGTAGTGAGAGCCGGGTTTGCTCGCTAGAACATTTCCGGAATGGTGTCGATCATTTCTAATTGCACTTCGCAACCTAGAGCTGAATGGAGATGGCTTTGCTTTTGTATATGCTGCTGTGATATGCTGCAATGAACTAAAAGACAGGTACGGAGTGGTACATCCAGTTTCCGTAATGATGAAGTGTTTTGAAAATTGTCGATCTGTGGTGTTTTCTTCCAGTAGGTGAGCTAGAAGAACTCAATCCATGGTCCAGAAAGCTATGCTATATAAAGTTTACGCTTGACAGCAGCCCCTGATCCGTTTCGTTTCAATGTTTGTTTCATTGGAGCGCCTGAAGATTGGTGGCTAAAAGCTTACAGTCACCACATACATGTCAATTCTGATTCGCCACCCAAATGACAGATAGGTAACCATGCGGAGTGGTATACTGGGAAATCGTCGATAGCTTGAATGCATGTATTTGCGGGAAGTGGGAGAGGCCAACAGTCTAACAAAGACTAGCCAGGATCACTCGCCAGTTAGATATCTTGTCAGAAGCCACTCCGCTATGGCGGCGCTTTGACTGAACCTTAAAGCTTCACCCTAGCTGCCCGTTCCGGAAAGACTATGTTACTATCATCAATAAGATCTGGAGCTTTGTCCCCGGACGCCCACATAGTCGGGCATTTAGGAGTCGGCTCTGGACTCGGTACTTTTCTAAAACGGTCTGTTGTCACCGAAAAACAACGGCTTTGTCGGTCCGATGCGTTACCTGATCACGAATGTCAGTCGCAGATGGTAGGCCAGTGGTATGGAGTTGTTGGTGAAGGACGACAAGTCCTAGATTGGACCAGGGTCTGTCATCTCGGCCGTTACTTACCCGAGCAAGAGCCAATGCAGCATAGTCTGCCACTGCGTCGGTTTCCCAGCCATAGCTCAGTCCGAATAGATACCTCTGATGATGAATTCCGTCTCAACGCAATATGCCTTGCACTGCAACCCTATATTGGTCATCGTGAAAGCTTCTGGGTAAAAGCTTATATTGGGGGTAAAAATACCGTGTTCTCATTCATCGCCTGTATTTGCAGCCTAAAGCTTAACCTTATAGGCTGCAGCCAAGCCATAGGTACTTCCTCGAAATCACTCTACAGTCATCCGGCATAAATATCTGCACTCACAGCTTCTCCTGAAAAGGAGGCGGCTGATAATTACCACGGTTTCTTACCCAGAAAGGCTGGAATGCAATGTGTCAGCAAAGACTTACTTCAGTGGACCAAAAGGTATCACGCTCGATTCGGCCAACTTCCTGTTGCATGCAGACCCATTTACTTGCGTGAAGAACCGGTGATGTCTTTCCTGTAGACATACAAGCAGTGCGCGAGACTTTCAGACGCATGATAGACCGGATTCGGAGTACTGTTGTGATGGTTTGCGTCAGCCAGAGTGGATGGTCACACTTCGTCCAAGAAGGTCTTGTTCACGCAAGTTCGCTAGAATGAACCAGAAGACAGTCATAGTCGAGTTCAAATAAAACAACTTCACCCCTTCAGTGAGGTAGATATATGAACGATTTCGAAGCCGATGTTGCCGATCTAGCAAGGCTATTTAATGAAACAGGTCCACTCTAAAAGTAGAAGGCTATTGTATCGGGCAAGTCGTAGCGCCTTCGCTTTCATATATCAGGTCCCCAGATTGGCAGTAAGTCCAGGCGACGTGGTTAGAGCTACGACACTGCTCGAACTCAACATGATCACATGTCCAGCTTCCAGCAAGCCAGGTCAGATTGAGCTCATCCCACCAAAACATGCGTTAGAACAGCGCTTCGAGCTTGCGAGAAAGATCACATCAGCTGTCATGTATGTGCATGTAATGCAGTAGGGACACAAATCTGTCAAATCACTCAACATCGTAATATTTGCAGAGAACGATTCGTGTCCAGCGAATACAGAGCAATCCTCTATCCTTGGTGAGTCTGTTCCGTGTGGCTTTGAGACATGGCGCGACGACAGGGGAGCGGGCCGTGGGCCAGGGGCTACGGCATCTACCGAGACCCCAAGCGTCAAGGCATCCGTACCCCATGAACCACGACCTTTACAGTCTTGGTGAACTAGGCCCATGGAGACCGTTGAGAGTTATAAAGTTATAAGCAACCCAAATAGTGTTAAAAGGAGTGTGATTCGTGAAAGGGGTTGGCCATGTCAAGGTCGCCGTGAATGACCGAGACCAAGCATCGTCATGTTGTGTTGTTTTGCATGGTATCGATGGTTATGGCCAGATTAGTAACTCCACAGCTGTAGAAGAGATGCGGAAGAACATTGAGGAGTTGGCTGCTGGTATGCAATAATAGACAATTGGTACTATTACCATCCCCTCTTCGCGGAGACATAATACGTTTTTTATTGTGTTTTTTATGTTTTATCCACGATTTGACCACCTTGCATAATTGACATAAGCCTTACTAACATGCATACGGAACGGTTGACTCATGATAAAAGCATATATTAAATGGCTTATTTATTGAGAGTTGATAGCAGATAAGATGCAAATAGAGTCTATTCCATCGAGAAGGGGAAAAACTTAATGTATCATTTTAACCGAGACGCCGAGATCTATCTGACCGAGTGGCAGAAGTTGAGGGCATCATCAATCAATGTATTACCATCCGATTTAAGCTTAAACCTCCGGTCCGTCAGGTTTGGACCGGAAATACGGGACAACATGACAATGAAACCTCCGATCTCTTACATGTGGATACCCATGGCCTCAGACGATGTGTACGTAATCTTAGGCCTGCATCTCGTCGCGAGAAATGCGAGGAAAACGAGAAATGCGAGCTGTTGGAAGGTGACGGACCAGTCGGGGTGTTCGGGAAATCCGAGCTTATCAGGTAATCTACGCGTCTTTAGCCCGTGCTGACGATGCCAAGATTTACGCGTTTAGAACGAGATTGACCTCGACTGATTTGTCTTTGTTTGTGTTGTTGTAAACTTTTGGCTTTAAGGCTTACTTAGAGTTAAGATGTAATGTGTATTGATAAGCCATGTGATCTTTTTGAAGAGTATTATCTTGGTATGAGGAGAGACTCACGAATCGAAGGATCAAACGCCAAGCCATGGATTTGCACCTCGCTTATTCTCATGTCTTGGCTGTCCAACTGCGCCCTGTAATCAAATCCACAATTCCATTCCTCCCCGTAAATCTCTGCGGAATATTCTCCATGGGCTGCCCCACGGAGGACGTGCTCCAGAAAGTAACCATGTTCTTATATCCGACTCGCCCTCCAAGATAACAAAACAAAGTGGTTCCTGTAAACTTCTTCCCCCGGATCGAGGGTGAAAGCGTCAATATGTCCTACAACGGCACAAACTACCCTCCGCCCACTTACGAAACATGTAAAGATGGAATTTCCGAACGATGTCCTGCTGAGTTGTCACTTTATGGCGATACTTTTACACTAGGCGCCTGTGTTTTCTTTGTCGTGGCACACGCGCTGGCGTTGATTCCCCAACTCTACTTTGGTATCAAAGCACGAACATGGTCATATACGCTATGGCTTGCGATCGGAACGATATTTGAACTCATCGGCTACAGCGGTCGTATCGTCATGAGTTCAAATCCCTGGGTCTACAACGCCTTCGTCATCCAGCTCGTTCTTCTCATCCTCGGGCCGACCCTAGTCGCCGCTGCGATCTCCATCACTTTCAAACATCTTGTGTTATGGTACGGTCGAGAATACAGTTTCATTAAGCCTGTCCTATACCCCTGGGTTTTCGTCGGCACGGACTTTTTCTCCATTGTTATCCAGGCTGCTGGTGGCGGTGTTTCTTCAGCTGCCACTAACGGAGACAACAATGACCAGGGCATGCTTGATGTTGGTTCTGGTCTTCTTGTTGCTGGTGTTGTTTTCCAAATGGCAAATATGATATTCTGTGGCGGTCTCATGATGATTTATATCTGGAGAAGACACAAGGCTATCAAGAATGGTGCTGCTGTCAGGGCTGGTGATGAGACTGCTACGGAGAGTGAATCGTCGACCAACGGAAACGTCAAAGTCATCAGAGCAAGTGACAAGAAGACCAAGATCTTTGTCTACGCGTTGACCGTCGCTTACATCGCCATTATCATCCGTTGCATCTACCGGTAAGCCCTCCTCCGATCTGACCTTGACTTTTCATACTAATATTGTCTAGTATCCCTGAAATGCAG